GGGTATACCGAGCTGCACGGCGCTGTATGCCAAAGAAGCTCGCAGCTCGGCCTTTCTCCAGCTCCCCGTTGTTTTGAGTCCTCTCTCTCGCAAAAAGACCTTCAATGCCGGCACTTTCCAAATGTCCGATTTCTTCCAAGGAAGGACCATCAGCCTCGTCCTCCATTTCGGCACGAAATCGCAACGAAAATCTTCACTTACGACCAGCAAAAAACACACACAGGACACATGCATTGCCGGTACACACACACGAAGCACACACAAAAAAACACGTCTGAACTATTAAAATACTTTTAACTCAAAAACTCCGTTTATTCTTAAGAACTAGATCTATCCAAACGTAGCCGTTCGGAAGCTAACGTCGCTGTTTGAACGCCAAAACGGCTTACACCTTCCCCAGGTGTACACACCTTTCGTACATAACATGGGGATTAAATGTTCGCGCGGCGGCGTGTTTATCTCCAAAAATGGCGGACATTACCCATCATGCATTTCGCGCCGCTAATGGCGAAAGGGCTTATAGTGTGGAATATTCTATTTTTGATAGGATGGCCCTGTCAATAGACACTTCCTTGTGGTGTTACATGTATGTCCAACCATGGAGTCCTTCTAACTCCATGGTCCAACTGTCATGTGACATGGTGTGTTATGCCCAACTGCCTTTGGGCACACCAAGTCACAGTATGGCTTTTCATTGTATTATTGATAAGTATACAATGTATTTTGTTTCTTTTCAGATTCACCAGATAGACTTTGATGATGAAAATAACATCCTGAACAAGAATGTGTTCCTGCACCAGCCTGGGGAGGTGTGGCATGTCAGTGCCAGCCCTGCAGACAAGGCAGTACTCACAACTGTGTACAATAAGAGTCAGTAACACTTACTGTGACCCCCTAACTTACATGACCTTATATGCAATTGATGTAGTAACGGTTTTAAAAGTCTGTTAAGTAATGTACCTTTAACATCTGCATTTCAAGGGTTATTTACAAATAAGATACCAACAAATCTTCTTTACCAACCAACTACTGCT